GTTTATTCTGAATCAGAGGGGCAAACATCTTTCAAGAAGCCGAGAATAATCTCGCAATCTGTGAAACCGAGAAGAACCTCGTAACTACTTTTTCTCGAAACCGAGCTCAGACCTCTGGTCATTCTTGAAAGATAAGCCTAAGTTTTACTTAGCAAAAAAGGGTCTGGTTCAACACAGACTAGGGATTTCTGCGGACTCCGAGTCCCGATTCTCATTTTTAATATTAAGAACACCCACTTAACTCTCGTTCTTAGTATTTTTCCCTTATCCTTTGAAGAAAGAATTCTGAGTTCATGTAACTTGCGTATCTCGTTGAAATCTTAAGTATTTCTTAATTTTTCGTACGAGGTATTCAAATTTCTCGAATACTCCGGATTTAAAGTTCAAAAGGACTTATATAAAAATAGAGGGGAAATATTCAAGTCTTCAAAAAAAACGATAAATAGGTTTTGGGTTTAAAAAATAAAAACAACAAAGGGGGGCACTAGCCATCACAACCCCGGAACCAGATCATTGACCCTTGACGTCGGGATCTTGCTGCATCTCCTCGGGCAGAACGGCGGCTTCGAAGTCCTGGCCAGTCATGAAACCTTTATTAGTTCCGAACTCATCAATGGCGACATCATCTTCGGGAAGAGATGTCTCTTGCACGGGCTCTGGGGGAGTCGCAACAAAGAGATGAGCGAACTCATTTGGTTGAGGTCTGAGAGCGCTTACCTCGCGAGCTTTCTTCTCAGCCTCTTCCTCGTCTTTCTTTACCGACTCTAGTTCGGCTTTTAAGTCCGGAATCTCTCCCTTCAGAATCTCCTCAAGAAGCTCTCGGTTCGCCCGAGTTTCGGCAAGACGCGTCCCAATCATCTCATTATCACTGATGGCCTGGTAGTAGGTCTCATGCTTCGAGGCGAGTCCGCTATAGAGTTCACGAAGCCTCAACCTTTCATCTTTTTTTGCTGCTGCGAGCTCCTCGTCCCGTTTCTCAGCAGCGATCTTGCACCATTCCTCGCTTCGCTTAACTTCAGCTTCCAGCGAGGTAATCTTTTCACATGCCTCGAGATACAGGTTCTTCCCGATCTTCAGCTTCTCGGAAAGATCAGTCTTGGCAATGTCAAGAAGGTTGCAGCGACCTTCGGCCTCCAGCATTCGCTCCCGGATCTCGTTTGCCTTTGCCACCGCCCTGGCATTTTCTTCCTCCATCTCCTTGAGTTGACGAACTTCTTCTTCAAGTTCGGCGACCCGGGCCCTGAGACCATCCAGCTCGTTAACAGGAAAGAGCTGGGACTCGTGGCAGGAGAAGGTGGTGTTGTACTCGAGCATTAACTGTCAAAACGAAGATTCATGAGGACGGAAAGAAAAGTTCTTATTTTTATGAAAGGAGGAGAAGAGTTCAAAGAATTACCTCTCCGAGTTTATCAGCGAAGCGAAAGTAGTTCGCTCTGTTGACCTCCTTCAAGTCACTAAAGGGATGAATCCTCATCCCAACAGGAGTAAAGTTCCTCATGAAATCAGCTGGTGACTTCGGAGGAGCTGTTAAAATAAAATAAAACGTCAAAATGAACTCGTAGCGAGATAAAAATACGAAGTGACTCTACTTACCAGTGGGGATCGGAATCTCCTGACGGACGGATCCCCGGTTCTCAGAGACCCGCGAAGGCAGGACAAGAAGCTGAGTTGGCAAGTCGGACTCCGGGGCCCGTTGTGGATCTTCTTTTTCTTCTGGTTTTGACCCCAGACTGGTCCCAGCATCCTCGGAAGGATTTTTCTCGTCGTTCAGACGAGAACGACTCTTGCGTTGGAGGGAAGGAACGTCAGATTCCTCGTTCCTGCGTTTCCTTGAGGAGGTTGCACTATGACCTCCTTCGGAAGTTTCTTTTTCCCGAGAAGATCGGGAGGAGCGAGAATCCGAGATCCGGATTAGGTCTTTTCCCGAAGACACCTTCTTCAGATCACGGTGATCAGATGTCTTCGATTCGGAAATCGGATCTACGGTACCCGAGTTCTTCCCTTTACCAGATGAAGATCTAGACTTCCCTTCATCCAAGGCCTTCACCATCCTGGCCTTATCTTCTTTCTCTCTCGCTTCTCTCGCTTTTTCCCTTTCCTTTTGGAGCCTTTTCTCTTCGCGGTAGGAAAGTGGAGACATGTTAGTGGCGACAGTAGGGGAGGAGGGAGGAGTGGAGGAAATGAGGTCGGATCGCGAGACAATTCGAGCACACGAACTCCGGATGCGTTCGCAAGTGAACAATTCCCACGACAGGTCGCTGCTATTGCAAATCTTTACGAATTGTCCCGCAAAAGTATGAGAAAGCGTTTTCTTCGGAGGTTTAGCTGCAAAAGCAAAAACATTGACGGATTAGAAAGAAAAAAGAGACGAGTGAAAAGCAGTGAAAAACCTAAAGAGCTATCTACCGGGACGACGAGTCCATTCACGAACGAAATAAGCCGTGTTTGGACCATAAGAAAATTCGTCTACAGCGAAGAAGAAGTAGGACATTCTCCATTGCTCGTCCTTTTCGGGAAAATCCCCGAAGACTCTGAATTTACTCCGAGGACTGAGGAAAAACGTCCCCGGAGTTCGCCCCTTCTTTACTGTATAAAGATGGAGTATGTCGGATAGCGTGATACGGTATCCATTTTCCTCTGCGAGGGTCTGGAGGCACAGGACGGTCCTAACTACATTTGGACATAGTTGAGGAAGTGCGATTCCGAACTCGTGCATCAATTCGACTAAAAGGCCGGGAAGCGGAAAAGATAGCCCGCATTCCGAAAAGAAAATTTCAAAAGCGCAAGTGTGACCGGTAGGTGGAGACTCCGGAGAATCTGTCGGACCTGGAGTAATCAAGGACACTCGACGAGGGATCTGGCAGGCACCTTTCAGCAGAGCCAGCTTTTTATTGTCGAGATTCGAAGAAAAATACTTCCCGAACTCGCCTTCCATGATATGAGTCTCATTCTGGATCTTCCTGCTTCGCTTCGGAGCCATAACGTAATTAGGGAAGATGTAGAGACGAAACAAGATCTGGCGCCAGGGATTTGGGAAGATATTTCAAGAACAGCTCAAGAACACGCTTGAGCAAACTTCGAAGATCTTCGTGAAAACCCATAAACCGGAAAGACTAAGCGGTTGACGTTCTTCGGAAAACGGTTGCGATTCAACGGAATATCAAGAACACGGCGGAGGAGTTGAAGAACAACGAACAATTTCGGAGCAGAGGGCTGAAAATCTAAGAAATCTTTTAGATCTCTGGCCTAAATCTAGCACGGAACTAATCTAGAGCGGTGAACTAACACGAATCCGGAACTAAGTAGCAAGAACTAAAGCGTAATCGGAAGAGTGTTAAGAGAAAAAAGAGGAGAAGGTTCAGTACCTTAAATAAGCAGACGACGAAGGTGAGCGAGCTTGAAGCGGTTGTGCAGAACCCGAAGAGTCCAATCAAGTATTAATAGGAATCTCTGGCGGGAATATGGAAGCCCTAGGAACTCGAAACGCCGCCCTCATCCCAAGAAGAATCCCTCGATCCGCGGGAAAATTTATATCCTAAAGATCTCGAAACGTCACTTCGGTCGAGGAACCAAATCCCGGGGAAAGCGGAATTAATGACGAAATCTCCGAGCCCGAGAAGAGTTTGTTATTTAAAGTATCCCGAAGTTAATACTTCGGAACACTTGGGGGGCAAACTGTTGGTGTCGGATCCCGCAGTTCGGATCCGGCCCGGAAAGATAGTGGATCAATGAGACAAAATGGGCCGTCGGCCCGGTCCAGGGGACAAAAAGAGCGGCCCAATAAGTTCAAGCCCAGTTCGAGTAAAACGGCGGAATCCCGCGAGTTAAATGAAAGGCGGGTCGCACGGGATGTGCGAGATCGGGAAGATTCGAAACGGAAGCAATAATGGAGGCGAGATCTGCGGCTTGACGAGCGACTTCGGTTTCAAATCATGTAATTATAAATAGGAGACAAAAACCATTGTATCAAGGGGGATTTTTCTTGAGCAATAAACGAATACACATACTTCACTTTTTTGTTTTCTCTTTGACGATTGCTGTTCGAATTAGCAAGGCTAAACGGCCCGATTTACATCTCAAAATTCGTATTGCGGATTCCGACATCCACAGTAATTAATTTATTTGACCAACAAATGTAGACTACTTTTATGTTAATAAATACATAAATGACTCATAAATTATCAGTAATGTCAATGGAAAAAATCTACTCCCTCCGTTTCGTTTTAGTTGTCGTTTAAAGTTTTCTCACACAAATTAAGAAAAACATTAAATTTTCTGTTTTACCCTTTATTAATATAATTTATAAAAAAATTCATTGGTCGAAACATTAAACCAGTATGGATAAAACTGGAATTTTCACAAAACATTTGCATCGAAAACCTAAAACGACAATTATTATGAAACAAAATTTTAACTCTAGAACGACAAGTAAAACGAAACGGAGGGAGTACTAAATATAAGTAAGTAAAGAATATATAGCATTATGACAAAAAAAAATAAAATAAAAATAAAGAATAGCATTCATTGATAGGTGAAGCGTTTAAGAAAGGTCCTCCCCAACTTTAAAATAAGATGAAGCGTGAGCGTTCGCTGTCGGGGATATACGTGCCGGAGTC